TTGCTGCTGCTGCTGTTACTATTACTACTTATTGCATTACATACATATTACTTAAAATAGCTATTAGCTTCCTATGGCCTAAGTGATAAACAAATGATAACTTTTCTCAAGCCAAATTTTCAGTGCTATGATTAAAATGCCAAGTGACTGAGATTTTGAAAGTGTACTGGTCATCTTTCTTCCCTGAACACTTTTCTTCTTCAAAGGACAAATTTCTGATCTGGAAACTAAAGCTCTCTATAAACATTGAATTCATAGGTTCATTTCAAAACTTTATTTTAAATAAGACATACTAAGAAAATTTGAATTACTGTGATCAATTCATAATTATATTTGTATATTAAAGCCACTTTACAGTAATTTATTCACTGGTTTTAATAATTTAATTAGTTGGTGAGGAAGAGTCAAAACAAGCCTTTTCCTGCCACATTTGTTTTAAGATTTCAATCTGATTTTTTAAAATTAAATTATTATAGTTATTTACACTCCAACAGTTGTCCTTCTTCCTGGTCCTCCCTCCCCTAGTTCTTCATCCCATCCCCCTTCACTCCCCCCCCAGCCTCTGAGAGGGTCCTCCCCCACCTGCCCAACCACCCCTACTTCATCCCTTCCAGCATCCTATTAATTCCACAGAATTAAATACAACCTCTCCCAATGAGGCCATAAAAGGCAGTCCTCTGCTACATATGTGCCTGGGGCAATGAACCAGCCCACATATGCTCCTTGGTTTTCGGCATAGCCTCTTGGAGCTCTGAGATACCCAGGTTAGTTGACAGCGTACTTCTTTCTATGGGGTTGCTATCCCCTTCAGATTCTTCAGTCCTTCCTCTAACTCTTCTGTATGGGTTCCTGATCTCAATCCAATAGTTGGCTGTAAGTGTCTGCATTTGTCTCAGTCAGTTGTTGGTAAAGCCTCTTAGAGGACAGACATGCCAGGATCCTGTCTGCACACACAATATGACCCTAGTAACAATGTCAGAATTTTGGTGTGTGCACTTAGATGGATTCCAAGTTGGACCACTCACTAAGTGGCTTTTCATTCAGACTTTGCTCAATTTTGTCCCTGCACTTCCTTTAGACAAGAACAATTCTGGGTTAAAAATTTTGAAGATCGTTTGGTGGCCCCATGCCTCAAAAAGGGGACCATGTCTATCTACTGAAGGTAGTTCTCTTCTGGTTCCATCTCTCCATTGTTGGACTCTTTGGCTAATGTCATCCCCATTGAGTCCAAGTAGTCTCTCACATCCCAAGTCTCTGGAACTTTCTAGAGGTTCACCCTGTCCCCTACCCCCACCACTGCATATTTCAATTCATTCTCCTGGGCAATCTTCCTGTCTTTCCACATATCTGATTCTGCCCTTCCTTTTCCCTCCACTTTCCCTGCTCCCACCCAGGTTGCTTCCTCCCTCCCTCTGCCTCCCATGATTATTTTGTTTCCCTTCTAAGTGGGTTTCAGATATCCACACTTGGGCCTTCCTTCTCCTTAAGCTTCTTAAGTTCATGAGTATTCTGAACTTTTTGGCTAATATTCACTTATCAGTGAGTACACACCATGCATGTACACTTACTCAGGTTACCTCACTTAGGATGATACTTTCTAGTTCCATCCATTTACCTTCAAAATTCTTGATGTCTTCATTTTTAATAGCTAAACAGTATAGCATTGTTTAAATGAACCATATTTTTTGTATTCATCCTTCAGCTGAGTGACATCTGGGTTGTTTCCAGCTTCTGGCTATTACAAATAAGGCTGTTTTGAACATAGTGGAACACATACCCTTGTGGTATGATGGATAATCTTTGGGTATATTCCAAGGAGTAATATGGCTGGGTCTTCAGGTGCAGCTATTTTCAATTTTCTGAAAAACTGCCAGATTGATTTCCAGAGTGGTTGTACCAATTTGCAATCCCACTAGCAATATGTCCTTGCCAGTATGTATTGTCACTTGAGTTTTTGGTCTTTGCCATTCTGACTGGTGTAAGATGGAATCTCAGGTTCATTTTGATTTGCATTCCCTGATGATTAAGGGTGTTGAACATTTCTTTAAGTGCTTCTCAGCCATTTGAGATTCCTTTGTTTAGAATTCTTTGTTTAGCTCTGTACTCCATTTTTTAATTGGGTTGTTTGATTTGTTGGTGTCTAACTTCTTGTGTTTTTTTTTTTATATATATTTTGGAAATGAGCCCTCTGTGGAATGTTGGGTTAGTAAAGAGCTTTTCCCAATCTATAGTTTGCCATTTTGTTCTATTGACAGTGCCCTTTGCCTTACAGAATCTTTGCAGTTTCATGAAGTCCCATTTGTCAATTGTTGATCTTAGAGCCTGAGCCTGAGTGTTCTATCCAGGAAATTTTTTTCTGGGCCAATGCGTTTCAGGCTATTTTCCACTTTCTCTTCTGATAGATTAGGTGTATCTTATTTTATGTGGAGGTCCTTAATCCACTTGGACTTGAGATTTGTACAAGGAGATAAATATGAATCAATTTGCATTCTTCTATATGCAGGCCGCCAGTTAGACCAGCACCGTTTTTTGAAGATGTTTTCTTTTTTCTGTTGTATGATTTTGGATCCTTTGTCAAAGATCAAGTGTTCATAGGTTGTAGGTTTATTTCTGGGTCTTCATTTCTATTCCATTGATTATTAACCTGTCTTTCTATATACCAATACCATGTATTATTGCTCTGTAGTACAGCTTGAGATCAGGTATCGTGATTCTCCCAGAAGTTCTTTTATTGTTGAGAATTGGTTTTGTTATCCTGTGTTTTACTTTTCTATATGAAGTTGAGAATTGTTCTTTCCATGTCTGTGAAGAATTGTGTTGGAATTTTGATGGAGATTGCATTGAATTTGTAGATTTTGGTAGGATGGCCATTTTTAACCATGCTAATCCTACCAATTCATGAGCATGGGAGAATTTTCCATCTTCTGAGGTCTTCTTTCATATCTTTCTTCAGAGACTTGAAGTTCTTGTCATACACATCTTTCACTTGTTTGGTTAGAGTTACACCAAGCTATTTTATTATTTGTGACTATTGTGTTGTTTCCTTATTTATCATTTGTATAAAGGAAGGATTCTGATTTGTTTGGGTTAATTTTATATCCAGCCACTTTGTGGAAGTTATGTATCAACTGTAGAAGTTCTTCAAAGAAGAAAAATATTCAGGGACCAAAAATGACAAGTACACTTTCAAAATCTCAGTCACTATACATTTTAATCATAGCATTGAAAAGTAGGCTTGAGAAAAATTATTCATTTATTTATCACTTAAGCCTCTATTTATCATTTAAACCATAGGAATTGTGGATTATATATTTGGATAATATCCAAATATATAAATAACTCAAAAGTTAGACACCAACAAATCAAACAACCCAATTAAGAAGTGGAGTATAGAGCTAAACAGAGAATTCTAAACAGAGGAATCTCGAATGGCTGAGAAGCACTTAAGCAATGACTATTTTAAGTAGTATGTATGTAATAGTAAATAGTAATATAGAACCTCTTACCTTTTGCAGTTCACTCACCACCTCTAATCCTGTAACAGTTTCTTGTTTTTTCCTTTTTGACTTTTCCTAGTCATATCCTGGCCTGATTTAAAACTATATATGTGTTATGTTTATTTTTAAAAAGTGTGATTAAGGTACATTTTTACAACTTAAAAAAGGAAAAGATCACACATCTTTATGCCTTACTTTTCTTTAATTTTTTTCTTATCTGATTTTCCGGATTTCTTGGTTCTCTCTTCTTTGCTTGCAGACTTTGCCTACAATTATGAACATGTCAAAATAAGGATAGTATAAGTTATAAGAGGTACATGGCAATATATGCAGCTCAGATTTCCCCTTTACCCTGAGAGTACTCTTCTGTTTCAGGGGAATTTATCTGAACCAAAACAAAGCAAAATTAATGATATACCCAGGCTGTTTCTATTTGTACTTAAAGGGTGGGGTATATTTGCATATGTACATGTGTAGAGCTCAGAAGTTTTCCTCTATTACTTTCCACCTTACCTTTAAAAACAGAGACTCTCATTTAACATGAACTTAACCATTTTGGTTAGACTGGCTGGCCAGAAAGTTCTTAGGATCTGACTATCTCTATTCCCCGGTGCTGGGGTTATTGGATACACCACTGCACCCAGGTTTTTGTTTTGTTTTGTTTTTTAGTGTTGGTTCTGGCGATCTGTGTTCAGCTCCTTGTACTTCTGCAGTGAGCACTTTATTAATGATCTCTCTCTATCCTCTTTATACATACATTTTGAGTAATTTCACACACTGAAATAATTAATTTCCTCTGATGGCTTTTCAGTTTTGCTGTGGTGTAGTCTATGGCTCCTGAAAATCACCTCATTGTGCTATATATGCAGTAGAGCCAGCAGGACATGTAGAAATTCATTAGGATGACATCATACAAAAATATCATCGATGATACATTTAAAAACTAAGGTGAATGATTCTGAATACACAAGTGAGAAAACGCATAGGTAGAGGTTGAACCTGAGGTGAAAAAAGGTTCATCTGAAACTACAAAGAAAGTTGAAACACAAGATGTAGCTTGTGTGAGACTCTGTATGTTGAGAATCATTGAACTGGATATAATGGTGTGACTAGTTATGGCCCCCATATATTCATATGTTTGAATGCTTGGCCCATAGGAAGTGGCACTATTAGGAGGTGTGGCCTTGTTGGAGTAGATGTGGGCTTGTTGGAGGAAATGTGTTGCTTTGAGGGTGAGTTTTGAGGTGTCCTAGGCTCAAACTATACCCAGTGTGGCACACAGTCTCCTTCTGTTGCCTACAGATCCAGATGTAGAACTCTAAGCTCCTTCTCCAGTGCAATGTCTGTCTGTGGGCTGCCATGCTTCCCGACATGATGATAACAGACTAAACCTCTAAAACTCTAAGCCAGTCCCAATTAATTTTTTTTATAATGGTTGCTGTGGTTATGATGTCTTTTCATAGCAAGAAGACCTTAACTAAGACACTGACAAAGCTACCTTCAACTTGTGTTTGTTCCGATGTAATAACACACACAAAAGTAAAGTTCAAATTATACTCAAATTGTGTAACATATTTGGAACAAATTTGTATCTAAACCCATCATTTTATCATAATTGAACACATGTTTTAAAGCATTTCTGAGACAGGATTTAAGTGATCTAGACTGGATATAAGCTTATGATCCTCCTACCTAAGTTTCTCAAATGGTAGAATTGTAGGTATATATATCACCATGCCTACACAAAATATTCTTTAGCTGCTCTGCAGAACCAGATTGTTTTATTATGAATGTAGAGAAGTAATTTAACAATTATTAAAATTATAGATAATAAAAACAAAGACAGTATATGATTATTTTATATTAAAAAACCCCAATGTACAAAAATGTACTTTAGTGGTAAACTTATCACAAGTTAAACATAAGGTGAAATAATTCCTCAAAAATAAAAAGCTAGAGCCAGGTGGTGGTGGTGGTAGTTCACACCTTTAATCTTAGCACTGGGGTGGCAGACACAGGGAGAGTTCTGTGAGTTCAAGGCTAGCCTGGTCTGCAGAGCAAGTCCCAAGGCAGCTATGGCTATACAGAGAAACCTTGTTAAAACAAAAACAAAAAACAAACAAACAAAAAAACAGAAACAGATATAATGGTACAGATCTGTAAACCCAGCACTTAGGAGATGAAGTCAGGACAATCAGGGATTTAAAATCACTCTCAGCTCCACAGTAAGTTTATGGCCAGACTGAACACAGAAGACACTGTCTCAATAACAAGAAAATCAACAACAAAAAAAGACAGGAATATGGAAACATAGTAATGAATTTAACAAGAACTATTATATCCCCCCAAATGACCTAATGTGCTTTTGAAGATGTTTCCTATAAAACTCATACATAGTGTAGACCAATAAATACTAAATAATGAGAGGTTATTAAGAGAAAATAATTTCTGCTTTCTCCTCCAATATCAAAGAAGTATCAAGTTACCAACAAAAGTGGGTCCAAGAGTGTTCCACGGGACACAATGTTCCATGCATGATATTGCAGCACTTGGGAGATTAAAGCAGGTGGGTTGAAGTGAGTTCTTGGCTAGCCTGCAGTACAGTATAGGAAAAATGCCTCAAAAAATCCAAGAGTATTTTAACTATACATATAATGATTTAACTCATTCATAACAATTTACTTTTATCTGACTCTTGCCTGTAGTTTGGATTTATAACATGAATGAAAATGGTAAGAAGGGAAAAGATAAAGGGAAGCAAATTTTCTTATATCATTGGCACTGTACTAATTTCTACTCACACTAGTTAATGTAGTTAACTAATTATAATTATAGGTGGTATAATTAACTAGTTATAGAGAACATAAAATGCATTTTAAAACTTGGGGGTTTGTGGATTTAGTGTAGTAGTAGTTTTTGCCTAATAACCAAAAGGCCCTGGGTTCAGTCTTTAGCTCCAGAGGTTGGAGGAAAAACAAAAATTTTGACTCTCTTATTCACTAACAAATTTATAAAATTAAATATTTGTCATATAAATGTATTTCATGAAATTGAAAAGATATCAGAAGATGAAAAGATCTTTCGTGTTCATGAATTGAGAATAATATATTGAAAATGGCCATCCTACCAAAAGTCATCTACAGATTCAATGCAATTCCCATCAAAATTTTAACACAACTCTTGGCTGATCTTGAAAGGACAATACTCAATTTCTTATGTAAAAATAAAAAATCAGGATAGCTAAAACAATTCTGAATAGTAAAAGTACTTCCAGATTCAACTCACCACTGCTGATTTGAAGCTGTGCTACAGAACTATGGTAATAAAAACTGCATGGTGTTAGCATAAAAACAGACACATTAGTCAATTTAATGAATCCACACACCTATGGACACCTGTTTTATCCTAATAAAGAAGCCAGAAATACCCATTAGAGACAAAAAGAATTTCCAATAAATAGTGTTGGTCAAACTGGATGTCTGCATGTTGAAGAATACAAATAGATCCATATTTATCACCCTGCACAAAACTCAAGTCCAACTGTATTAAACATAAACCAGACATAATCTCAACTAAAACCAGACACACTGAACTTGATAGAAGAGAAAGTAGGAAATATCCTTGAATGCTTTAGCATTGAAGACAATTTCCTAAACAGAACACAGATAGTGCAGGCACTAGAACCAACAATTAATAAATGGGACCTCATGGAACTTAAAAGCTTCTGACACTGTCAGGAGCCATCTAGGGAAGGCAAAGGCTGGCAGGTTACTTCACAGGTGATAGCCCACCGTCTTTGCATGGTCGGCTATGAGAGATCTGAGAAGCAAGGTCCCAAGAGACTTGATCTCATCTGAGTTATAGAGTAAAAGAATAATATTTATTTAAGCACAAGAAATAAAATTATAAGGCCAAAGATTATCAGTCTTTGTCTTCATCCAACACTGTGTTGACAAGTACCCAGTACCAGTCCCTAAAAGGTAGGGCAAGCCCCCAGAAAGATGCCATCAATAGGACAACACTACAGCCTACAGAATGAGAAAAGATTTTTACCTACTCCACATCCAAGACAGGGCTAATATACAAAATATATTTTAAAAAATAACTCAAGAAACTAGACATCAATAAACCAACAATCCTGTTAAAATGGTACAGGTTTGAACAGAGAAGTCTCGATTGAGGAATCTTAAATGACCTAGAAACTCTTAAAATAAAATTCAACATCTTTGTCTATCAGGGAAATCCAAATCAAAATGACTTTGAGATTCTATCTTCCACCTGTCAGAATGGCTAAGATAAATAATACAGTGACAGCTTATGCTGATGAGGAGCAAGGGGAACACTGCTCCAATGCTGGTGGGAATGCAAACATGTACATCCACTATGAAATTCAATGTGATGGTTCCTTGCCCAGCTTTGATATGAGGGCTTATACCTACGTAGTCTTACTGCATCTTTCCTTGCCATGTTTGGTTGACATCCCTGGGAGGCCTTTTTCTGAAGGGGAAACAGAAAAGCAGTGGTTCTGGGGAAGAAAGGAGGTGGGGAAGGACTAGAAAGAGTAGAGGGAGGGGAGGTTGCAGTCAGGATGTATTGCATGGGAGAGTAAAAAATAAAAAGAAAAAAGTTAAAATAAAAATAGATGTCTTTTACAATGATTGAGCTGTTTCTGTTTTCATCCTTCTGGGTTTGATAGTTAATATGGAAATTTAGAACAGTAGTTTAAGGTTTTGAATCAGAGCTTCTTAAAATTATGACTGATAGAAACGTGTCATAAAAGAACTGAATGTCACTTTGAGTCCCTTCTGTGTGATACTGGGCCTTATTTGATACTGTATGTCATTTTTATCAGTTTCATGTACCAACCTCTATCTCTCTCAGCCTTCGTATTTCGCCTTCCAGCAGGGTTTTCTCCAGTAATAACATTTGAAAATCAGTTTCCATTTGTTTAAATTTCTAAAGACAAATGTAATAATTACAATTAAAAGTAGGCATCTCAATAAGGTTTACTTCAATACTTAGTAATTTAAGAATAACCTCACTAAAGCATGGAAAAAGAATGGGCCATCAGGATTAATTTCTCAACTGCCATTGAGATTGATATATCTAGATAAGAAATAGATTCCAGCTTAATATTCAGAAATGTTTCTGAATGACTATGATGTCTATAAAGTGAAAAATAACATACAATTCCTTCTAGTTCACAACCTGGGTAAACTGAGTAAGTGCTTACGTAATCTATGATTACGATGAGTGAAAATGGTCATTTCAAGTTCAAATTGCAATATCAAATTAAGAATGTTATACTTACACACTCAATTACATTCTGTTCAGTTAAAGCTCTGAAAAACAGACCAAAAGTAACTATACTATATTAAATATATCCATATTTCAAGTTATGGAACACATTTATATTTTTATAAAAGACTTTTAACAAGTGCACTCTTCCTAGTCTCACAACCTACTCCTGTGCTATAGCCAAAATCTAGACTCCTGTAAGAATCCTCCCTACACATATCCACCAACAGTACCCTGTAACTAACACACCTTTAATCCCAGCACTCAGGAGACAGAGACATTCAGATCTCTGAGTTCAAGGCCAGCCTAGTCTACAGAGCAAGTTCCAGGACAGCCAAGCTTAGATAGTGAAGGAAACCATGGAAAAGAGAATGTTGGTGGAGATGTAATTAAACGAGGGGAATATATTCCACTCCCAGAAAGCAGCAGAACTTGGCAGCTTCAGCCATGTGATTCTGGCTTTAGAATCAAGGATAGAAGAAAGCACTTATGGAATCTCCCTTAGCAACTGAGGAAAGCCACTGAGGCCCTGCATGGAGGCCAGGAGAGACTGTTGTGTGAAGCTGTGAAGGTGAAGGCTGTGTTTTCTTGGGCACCTCAAGAGGTTAGATTTGCCTGTGTCATGGTATACCTTCCAAGGAAAGCTGCTAACAAGGAGGGAAAACAGCTCAAGAGAAAAAAAATGTATTGCTCTCAAGAAAGCTGAAAGAAGTTGGAGATCTGAGAGAATTTTTACATCAGACAGGAGATGCAGAGTTTGGAGTTTCTCCCGCTGGTTTTCAGTCTTGCTTTGGTACTTCTTTACTATGCTTCCTTGCTTACATTTTGGAATGGTAATATATAGCCTGTGTGCATTGTATATTGTAAGTGATCTGTTTTATATTTTGATGTTATAGGGGATTATAGTAAGTGATTGCATGAATCTCAGAAGAGACTTCTAACTTAGAACTTTTAAATATTGTTGAGGCCGTGATAGACTATGGAGACTTTTGAAGTTGGACTAAATGAATTTTGCATTGTCATGACTGTAGGTGCCTGGAGGCTAGGAAGTAGAATGTGGTGGTTTGATTAAGTATGCCCACCCCATAGACTCATGAGATTGAATACTTGGTCTATAGGGAAGGGCACTATTAGGAGGTGTGGCCTTGTTGGAGAAAGTATGTCACTGTGGGAATGGGCTATGAAGTCTCCTGTGCCCATGCTATGCTCAGAGTGTCACATAGTTCTTTCTGCTGCCTGCAGGTCAAGGTGTAGAACTCTGTGCTTTTTCTCTAGCACCATGTCTGCCTAGATGCTGCCATACTTCCCACCATGACAATAATAGACTAAATCTTTAAAACTGTAAACCAGCCCCAACAAAATGTTCTTTATAAGAGTTGCCATGGTCATGGTGTCTCTTCATAGCAATAAAATTCAAATTAAGACAATGTGTACATACAAGTATGAGGTCAGTTGTCTTATCTTTTAATCATACTTCTATTGTTTAAAGAAACTTCTAAATTGAAATATATTTTGACCATATTTTTGTCTTCCCCCAAATCCTCTCAGATACTTCCCCCCACCCACCCAACTTTATGTTCTTTATGAAAAGAACAAAAATCAATACAACAAACACCCCAAAATTAAAAATAAAGTAAAGCATCACCCAAAAATATAAAAACAAAACAAATGAGCAAGCAAAACCCATCAAATTATAACTAATTAGAAGCACAAACAAACAAAAAGCTGTGGAGTTCATTATACACTGGAAAACTACTCCTGAATATGAGGGCTGCCCTGGAGTGGTTGATATACTGTGTGACACTGTATTGGAGATAGCCCCTCAAATACCCCATCTCTACCCATATTCCCTCCAACAATCCCTTCTCCCCTCTACTTCCTGACTTGATCCTCCCATTCCAGCTGCCTCCATCCATATTCTTATCTATCCTATTTCCCTTTTCTTTTTTGAGGGATTGGAGGAGGCTGGGAGAGAGAACAGAAATCAGTGGGAGGACATCTCAGGGATATGGAAGGTGTATAGGAGTCTCTGGGGGTGACCTTAGCTGAGCCCTGTACCAGCTGGGGATATTGAGCCTGAAGACTCCACTTCCTGTAGCCAGTTCAGACTTGCAATTGAAGGTAGCAGACACCAGCTCATCTACAAAGCCCTGGACCCAAGATTTGTCCTGCCTACAGGAAGTGCAGGGATAAAGATGGAGCAGATATCCGGGGAATGGCCAACTAATGACTGGCCCAACTTGAGACCCACATCATAGGAAAGAGCCAACCCCTAACCTTTTCATGATAATGATAATGACTTGCAGACAGGGACGTAGTATAACTATCTTCTGAGAGTCTTCATCTAGCAGCTTAGCGAAACAGATGTAGAGACCCACAGTCAAATAATAAGTGGAGGCTCAAGGAGTCTTGTGGAAGAGTTGGGAGAAGGATTGAGGGAGCCTGATGGATCAAGGATGCCACAAAAAATACCTACAGACTAAACTAATTTGGTCCTATAGTGGCTCACAAATTATCAACCAAAGAGCATGACACTGTGGACCTAGGCCTGCTATACATTTGTAGCAGATGTGCAGCTTGTTCTTCATGTTGGCCCCCTAACAATTAGAGAGGGGAACTATCTCTGACTCTGTTGCCTGCTTTGGATCCCTTTCTCATAGCTAGACTGTCTTCTCTGGCCTCAATGGGAAAGGATGCACTTAGTCCTGCTGGGACTTGATGTATCAGAGTAGGTTGGTACCAATCTACGGCCTCCCCATCTTTGAGGAAAATGGGGTGCAATTAGAGGGGAGACCTTTGATCAGGCCATAAAGTGAATTAATTAATTAATTAATTAATGAGAACAAAAGAAGCCAGCTTATGATGAAGACCTTATTTATTATGTATGCTCTCAATGGTTCTACTCTATGCACTCAATTTTATAAATACAAAATAATAAATAATTATTTCCAAAGCTTACTTCTCTAACATTGTTGTCTGATTTTCAAATATTTTCATCATCGTATTCATCCGAGTAGTCACTGAAGCAGGAGTTCCTAATGCTGAATATATAAAGGTGTTATAATGGCTGAAGTTCGATGACCATACAATTCACTGATATGCATGAGAAAACTAACAAATCATAAGGAGGTGACATGTTTCTTTCAATCGCATTTACCTTATGTTACTTTTTCCTATATATCATCTCTGGCTTTCAATAGAAAATTTCAATTTTCTATTTCAAATAGAAATTTCTATTTGAAAACTGAAATTTCAATAGAAAATACCTATGATACAAGGCATACCCAGAGGATGGGGGAGGGACCACATTCTGAAGAAATAGGCAACTATGAGCACAAAATTTCAGATATAGTAGATATTTTTAAGTTATCAGGAAGGAATTTTAAACAATTAATTAACAGTATTTATTACCTAGGGAAAAACTGGCAACATACAAGAGCAGATGGATAATATAAGAAGAAACTCTAATAAAAAAGTAAAAAGAAATGCTAAAGCTCTACTGTAGCAACGAATGCCTTGTGACTGATACAGGCAGTAAATAAAAAGTAAATAAAATAAAATTTAAAAAAATAAATAATGCAGGGCTGGAGAGATGGCTCAGAGGTTAAGAGCACTGACTACTCTTCAACAGGTTCTTAGTTCAATTCTCAGCAACCATATGGTAGCTCAGAACTATCTTTAACAGAATTAGATTCCCTCTTCTGATATGTATAAAGACAGAGCACTCATATACATATATACATAAAATACATGAATTTGTAAATCTTAAAAAAATAAATAAATAAGGGAGATGGAGAGATGGCACAGGGGTTAAAGAGTACTGACTGCTATTCCAGAGGTTCTGAGTTCAATTCCCAGCAACCACATGGTGGCTTACAACCATCTGCAATGGAATCTGATGCCCTCTTCTGGTGTGTCTGAAGAGAGCAATGGGATATATATATAAATAAATAATAGGTAAATCTTAAAAAATAAAAAACAACAAAAAAGAAAATGTCTCCATTTAAACAATAAATGAATAAATAAATAAATAATGTCAGTGTTGGCAAACACCTTTAATTTCAGCAATTGCAGAGTCAGACAAACTAAGAGTTCAGACTGTTACTGGACAGCCAAGGCTACATAAAAGAAACTCTGGCTTAGAAAAAAAATGAAAGGGAAAAAATACAGAATAATCATTGTTACTCCTTAAGGAGCACTTGCATTTTGCCAATCACACCATGTGTTCTAATCTATGTGGGCTCTTCTTTTAATTTTTTTATTGATTCTTTGTGAATTTCACATCATGCACCCCAATCCCATTTATCCCCATATTTTTGTATCTGCCCTCCATCCTTTGCAACCTCTCCCACAAAAGAAAATAACAAGATAGAATGAAAATAAAAACAAATAAAACTCCAAAAACCATCTTGTCGTGGGATCTGAAGTGTGTTACAGTGTATCACACAGTATAGTCATTTATTCACACATATTTATTTGCAAATGTTCATTGCAGTTAAGTCATTGGTCTGTTCCAAGGCCTATGGCTTCTGCTACACTATCAATACTGGATCCTCACAAGGATTCCTCTTGGGTATTCTGTTGTTGTCCTGTGTCATGGAGATCCTGCTGGTTTGGATCTTCAGGAACAGGAATGAGTATTTTAATAATCATAATAACCAGGTAATGTTACATTATTGTCTAATAAATGCTTACTCTATGTGGCTACTGTAAGGTAAAAAGAATGTAATTTAGTATTTGGAATATTTTGGAAAACAACCTGCACATTTTAAAATAATTCTTAAGAGTATTTTGTAGACCATTAAAGCAACTTACTTGAAAAAGGTCAATAGGTATGAAACTGTCTTTAGAAACTCCCCAAACTATGAATACGAATGAGGTAAAAATGTAATTGAGAATTCAAGATCTGTGAATTCAATTCATAGTCTAAAAAAAACAGGTGTAATACATGACTAATGGAATAATAAAAACAGGTGTAATATATGGCTATTGGAGTAATAAAATCAGGTGTAATACATGCCTAACAGGGTAACAAATGACAAAGGGCAAATGAAAGAGCATTGTGAAGTGATAATGACAACAGCTTTTCTAAAATTAATGACAGAACTAAGGCATGTATTACTTAAATGTTTGTTATCATTGTATGGGTATGCATGACATGTCTATGGGGTGATTATAACATGGCCTGAGTGTGGAGAGTTAAGCACAACTCTCTGGAGTCTGATTTCCTCCTTCCAATATCGCACGAGTTCCAAGGACTAACTCAAACCACCAAGCTTGTGCAGTAAGTACTTTTACCTGGTAAGCTAGTTGGACGTGCTGAAGCTGAAAAAAAAATAAAATAAAAACAAAATCAAAAATATGCACCTAAACATGTAATGATATTCAAACTCCATAAAAATCAAAGATGAAGAGAAAAATGTAAAGAAGTCAAAGGGAGCAAAAATAACTTATATAAAGAAAAATGATGAAAATCATACCAGACTTCTTTCCCTCCCACACAAGCAGCCAGGAAAGCCATCCCTGCATCTAAGAAGTCCCCAGGACCTCATAGCTGCACTGTGTGCTCACAACACTGCAACCCAAGCTTCACTGCCACTTTGGATGTCTAGGACTCAAACATAAGAGCTGCTACCAGATCACTCAAGTTTACAGCTCAAGGATCTGCACATATGCAGACAAGAGCCCAGCTTTGGGGCCAGTCTGACAAAACCTGCAATGCAGACACCAGAGCTTCAGATGCTGCAGGAACATCCCCACTGAGGTTGCTGAGAAAGCAGTAGCTCAGAATACAGCAGCATCTGGATCTCACAGACCCAGCTAGCCCATAAGAACCTGTGGTATGGAACCCAAATCTATGTACATCTCATAGATAACATGCTTCAGTGCTGGTGCTACTGTTATTATGATCACATTGCAAGCTATATTTGTCACCAACATCTATCTCCCTGCTGTAGCTTCCATTGGGTAAAACACACACACACACCTGAGAATCCAAACAGCCTTTGCTACCAAAGTCTCCATGCAGGTGCTTGTATACTGCATATGAAGACTCCTGCAATCATCACCAGTACAGACAGCAGAAAGAGCTTCAAAGACAGTGAGCTGATTTTGAAGCTAACCTGGGATACCTGACACTCTTTCTTCAAACAAACAAAGAAAACAGATAAAATCTTGAAAAAAGCATCAAGAATGCAGAGATTTCTTAACTATCTTGGTATGAATGAGAATGTTCGCACGGGCTCAGTAACATGAACACTTGGTCCTCATTTGGTAGTAATTGGGAAGGATATGGAACCTTTAGGAGGTGTTAATGTGATGATATTTAAATGAATGGATCCTTACCTGGCTCCGTTTCAGTTTGAGATTCTAAAGTTGAATGGGATTTTATGAAGTCTGAAATAGATACAAGTATCCACCATTATATATTTTATATACAATTCTACACACTAATTGGATTCATAGTCTACAATATTAATTTTAATGAATCACCCAAAGGAAAGATAGAACAACAGCTTCCAATAACAAACCCTTGCAACCAGGCACTTGGGCTGTGGTGTCTGAATAAACATGGGTAATAGCCACTTACAGATACATCATTTCCTCTCTAAAACATGCCTTTTCTCTTTCATGTGTGACATCAGGGAACAAACCCAGGTCTTGGTGGATAGACAGATGCTCCACAACTGTGCCACACCCTCCTACTACTTGGTTTTCCTCTTCTATTCATTTTTATTGGTTGAAAGTAACTGAGTATCTCATCACCTTTTCTTTGCCTTCAATCACCAAGTTTTGTCAATTATAGCAGGTAAAGATGTTTCTAAACTGTCCATTTCACTTTCTTTCATTAGCAATCTAATTTTTATTGAGTACACATTTAAGCTGCATTATCATTTATTTCATCATAAATATTTTTAACAATTCCCTGGTTAGTACTAAAAATGTCCAAAGGCTTTAGTACTCCAAGCAGAACCTCTGCCAAATTAGTGATGATGCTCTCCAGTTTTAATTCTTATGTTATAATTCTTATACTATTGCCAACTTAAATGACCAATATTTTCCTTCTTCACTCAAATAACTCCTATTCATCTTTTAAGGTTGCACAGTATTTCTAACTTTCTTAAGATAAACCAATTTGTAGACTTACTACAACATTAACGGACTGTCATGTATTACCACACATCTGAATGATTCATAATGTGTTCTATCCTTGAACTCTCTAAACTTTATGGGAGCAACAACCAAATCATAACAGCATTTATCTTTTAAGAATATTTGTTTTTATTTTATGTGTTTTAGCGTTTTGATTGCATGTGCACTATATGTTTGCAATGCCATTGTTGGGGTTGGTCTGTGCTGTTGTATATTCAAATGCTAAAACCTGGCCCCTAAGATCTGGTTGCCCACAACAAGGAGAGCCTCACATACACCAAGTGATGCTATGTAGCCTTGCTTCTCAAGTTAATTGGTCAATAAAAGGCTAAGGCCTGTGATTTGGCAGTAGATAGTGGTAAATGAGTTTTCAGTTACCTGATTCAGGGTGGCATATAGAGAGAAAAGAAGAAGAAAGCACACACAAAAGGAGGAAGACACCATGAGAGGAAATGAACCATGAGCCAGGAGAAACAACAAGTAACAAGAGACATATTGAAGGGATGTAAGTTAAAATAAAAAAATATATTTAGGAAATTATCAAGTGTAAGCATTTATAAAATATTACCTTCAATTTGCTTTTCTATAAGTCCAAAACTTTTCAATGTTTCTGCTAGAGTCGCTTTATTCCTGTTAAGAGTGCCAATAAAGAAAACATGTCTTCATATACATTCAGAGTTAAATTACATGCTCAAGGAATTATAATTTACAGACTAGGTATATGAAGTTTGTGAAATAAAAGGTAGTATATAATTTATCCTTCACTCAGTACTAACATAAATGCCATCTTATAATAAAAAGGACAAATTCTATAAATTGTATATTCCAAGAATATAATTAAGTACACCAACAACACTCAGAACTAAAATAACAAAAACAAATCAGTAGAAACAGCTAGTACGTTATCACTTGGTGTAGTGCTAAGAGCACAAGCCTAAGAGTGAGACAACCTGCTCCAAACCTGTAACTATGTGGCCTGGAGCCACCTTCTGTGCTTCTCTCAGCTCCTGTTAAAACTCACATATACTAATGCCTTTCTCATAAAGTAGTTACAAGTCTCCCAGGAGTTACTAGAAAAATACCTTGCTATCTGCGCCCCAGAGTTAAGAATGTCCCACAGCCCTCCGTACCCAATTCCTCCCGGAGAGAGCTGGTCTCCCAGAAGTGCTGTCACTTCTAAGCTCACAGGTGAGACCACCACTTTCGCTCCAGTAACTGGCCTAAGAGGGACGCTACAGGAGCCCACACGGCACAAGAACTGCAAAACAGCAAGGGACAGAATCCTTCCTGTTTCCATCAGCACCCCAGAACTAACACTGTGACATGCCCCTCGACACCCAAAGCCTGCCAGGAGAGAATTGGTCTCCTAGGAGTGCTGACACACCTAAGATCACAGCTCTCTGAACCTCATTACCTCTATGAGAGAGGTAGTCTCCCAGGAGTTTTGACGAACCTAAGATGACAGGCTCACAGGTCCACAGGAGGGACAAGCTCCAGTCAGAGAATGCAAGCCCAACTAACACCAGAGATAACCAAATGGTGAAAGGCAAGCACAAGAACCTAAGCACCAGAAACCAAGGCTATTTGGCATCATCAGAACCCATGTCTCTCACCACAGAAAGTCCTAGATACCCCCAACACAACAGAAAAGCGAGATTAGGATTTAAAATCACATCTCATGATGATGACAGAGGACTTTAAGAAGGACATAAGTAACTTCTATTAAAAAAAAATACAGGAGAACACAGGTAAACAGGAAGAAATCCTTAAAGAGGAAAAACAAAAGTCCCTTAAAGAATTAGTAAAACACAACCAGATAGGTGAAGGAATTGAACAAAACCATCCAGGATCTAAAATTGGAAATAGAAAAAATGAAGAAATCACAAAGGGAAACAATCCTGGAGATAGAAAACCTAGGAAAGAGATCAGGAGTCATAGATGGAAGCACCATCCACAGAATAAAAGACAGAATCTCAGCTGCATAAGATACCATAGAAAACATTGATACAACAGTCAAAGAAAATGCAAAATGAAAAAGCTGATAACCCAAAACATCCAGAAAATTCAGGACTCAACGAGAAGACCAAACCTAAGGATAATAGGTATAGAAGAGAACGAAAATTCCCAACTTAAAGGAGCAGTAAACATCTTCAACAAAATTATAGAAAAAACTTCCCTAACCTAAAGAAAGAGATATCCATGAACATACACGAAGCCTACAGAACTCCAAATAGACTAGACCAGAAAAGAAATTCCTCCTGTCACATAATAATCAAGACATCAAATGCACAAAACAAACAAAAAATACTAAAAGCAGTAAGGGAAAAGGTAAAGTAACATATAAAGGCAGGCCTATAAGAATTACACCAGACTTCTCACCAGAGACTATAAAAGCCAGAAGATCCTCGACTGATATCATACAGATCCTAAGAGAACACAAATGCCAGCCCAGACTACTATACCCAGCAAAACTCTCAATTACCAAAGATATTCCATGACAAAACCAAATTTACACAATATCTTCCCACAAATCCAGCACTTCAAAGGATAACTGATGGAAAACTCCAACACAAGGAGGGAAACTACAACCTAGAAAAAGCAAGAAAGTAATCTTCCAACAACTCTAAAAGAGGATAGCTACACAAGCATAATTCCACCTCTAATAACAAAAATAACAGGAAGCAACAATCATTTTTCCTTAATATCTTTTAACAACAATGGACTCAACTCCCCTATAAAAAGATGTAGACTATCAGACTGAATACATAAACAGGACCCAGAATTTTGCTGCATACAGGAAACACACCTCAGTGACAAAGAACTACCTCAGAGTAAAAGGATGGAAAACAATTTTCCAAGCAAATGGTCCCAAGAAACAAGCTAGAGTAGGCACTCTGATATCAAATAAAATCAACTTTCAACCAAAAGTAATCAAAAAAGACAAGGACACTTCATACTCGTCAAAGGAAAAATCAACCAAGATGAAATCTCAATTCTGAATATCTATGCTCCAAATGCAAGGGCACCCACATACATAAAGGGAACTTTACTAAAGCTCAAAGCACACATTGCACCTCACACAACAATAGTGGGGGATTTCAACACCCCACTGTCAGCAATGGACAGATCATAGTAACAGAAAATAAACAGAAACACAATGAAATTAACAGAAGTTATGAACCAAATGGATTTAACAGGTATCTATAGAACACTTCATCCTAAAACAAAAGAATATACCTTTTTCCCAGCACCTCATGGTACCTTCTCCAAAATTGACCATATAATTGGTCACAAAACAGGCTTCTACAGATACAAGAAAATTGAAATAATACCTTGCAACCTATCACATCACCATGGACTAAGGCTGATCTTCAATAATGACAAAAACAATGGAAAGCCCACATACACATGCAAACTGAACAATGCTCTACTCAATGATGACTTGGTCAAGGAAGAAATAAAGAAATTAAAGACTTTTTAGAATTTAATGAAAATGAGGACACATCATACCAAAACTTGTGGGACTCCATGAAAGCAGTGCTAAGAGGAAAACTCATAGCTCTAAGTGCCTACAAAAAGAAGTTGGAGAGAGCATACACTAACAACTTGACAGCACTCCTGAAAGCTCTTGAACAAAAAGAGGCAAATATACCCAAGAGAAGTAGATGGTAGGAAATAATCAAACTCAGGGCTAAAATCAACCAAGTAGAAACAAAAAGAACTATACAAAGAATCAATAAAACCAGGAGCTGGTTCTTTGAGAAAATCAACAAGATAGATAAACCCTTAGCCAGACTAACCAGAGGGCATAGAGACAGTATCCAAATTAATAAAATCAGAACTGAAAAGGGAGACATAACAACAGAAACTGAGGAAATTCAAAAAATCATCATATCCTACTACAAAGGTCTATACTCAACAAAACTGGAAAATCTGGATGAAATGGACAACTTTCTAGACAGATACAAAGTATCAAAGTTAAATCAGGAGCAGATAAACCATCTAAACAGTCTCATAACCACTAAAGAAATAGCAACAGTCTTTAAAAGTCTCCCCACCAAAAAAATCTCAGGCCCAAATTGTTTTGCTGCAGAATTCTATCAGACCTTCAAGGAAGACCTAGTATCAATTCTTTTAAAACTATTCAACAAAATAGAAACAGAAGGAACACTACCCAATTTGTTCTATGAAGCCACAATCACACTCATACCTAAACCTCACAAAGACCCAACAAAGAAAGAGAACTTCAGACCAATCTCCCTTATGAATATCAATGCAAAAATACTCAATAAAATTCTGGCAAATCGAATCCAAGAACACATCAAAATGATCATTCACCATGATCAAGTAGGCTTCATCCCAGGAATGCAAGGATACTTCAATATATCCATCAACATAATCCACTATTTAAACAAACTCAAACAAACAAACAAACAAACACAAAAACACCATATGATTATCTCATTAGATCCCGAGAAAACATTTGACAAAATTCAGCAACCCTTATGTTAAAAGTCATGGAAAGATCAGAAATTCAAGATCCATATATAAACATAGTAAAAGCAATATACAGCAAACCAGTAGCCAATATCAAATTAAATGGAGAGAAAATTGAAGCAATTCCACTAAAATCAGGAACTAGATAAGGCTGCTCACTCTCTCCCCACCTATTAAATACAGTACTGGAAGTCCTAACCAGAGCAATTAGAAAACAAAAGGAAGTCAAAGGGATACAAATAGGAAAAAGAAAAAGAAAAAAGAAAGAAGTGAAAATATCAGTATTTGCAGATGATATGATAGTATACTTAAGTGACCCCAAAACTTCCACCAGAGAACTCCTAAACCTGAAAAACGACTTCAGAAAAGTGGATGGATATAAAATGAACTCAAACAAATCAGTAGCCTTCCTCTACCTGAAGAATAAACAGGCTGAGAAAGAAATTAGGGAAATAACACCTTTTACAATAGTCACAAATAATATAAAATACCTTGTTGTGAATATAACCAAGCAAATGAAAGATCTGTAATGCAAAAACATCAAGTCTCTGTAGAAAGAAATTGAAGATCTCAGAAGATGGAAAGATATTCCATGCTGATGGATTGACAGGACTAACATAGTAAAAATGATCATCTTGCCAAAAGCAATCTACAAATTCAATGCAATCCCCATCAAAATTCCCACTCAATTCTTCATAGAGATAGAAAAAGAAATTGGCAAATTCATTTGGAATAACAAAAATAACCCAGGATAGTGAGAACTATTCTCAACAATACAAGAACTTCTGGTGGAATCATCATTCCTGACCTCAAGCTGTATTACAGACAAATAGTGATTAAAAACTGCATGGTATTGATACAGAGACAGGCGGGAAGATCAATGGAATAGAATTGAAGACCCAGAAATGAACCCACACACCTATGGTCACTTGATCTTTGAAAAAGGAGCTAAAACTGTCCAGTGGAAAAAGGACAGCATTTTCAACAAATGGTGCTGGTTCAACTTGAGGTCAGCATGTAGAAGAATTCAAATCGATTCATTCTTATTTCCTTGTACAAAGCTCAAGTCTAAGTGGATCAAGGACCTCCACATAAACCCAGATACACTGAAACTAATAGAAGAGAAAGTAGGGAAGAGCCTCGAATACCTGGGCACAGGGGAAAAGTTCCTGAACAGAACACTAATGGCTTATCATCTAAGATCAACAATAGACAAATGGAGCCTCATAAAATTGCAAAGCAATTGTAAGGCAAAGGACACTGTCAATAAGACAAAACGGCAACCAACAGATTGGGAAAAGATCTTTACCAATCCTATATCCAATAGAGGGCTAATATCCAATATATTCAAAGAACTCAAGAAGTTAGACCCAGAGAACCAAATAACCCTATTAAACAATGGGGTACAGAGCTCAACAAAGAATTCTCAACTGAGGAAACTCGAATGGCTGAGAAGCACCTAAAGAAATGTTCAGTATCCTTAGTCATCAGGGAAATGCAAATCAAAACAACCCTGAGACCCCACCTCACACCAGTCAGAATGAATAAGATAAAAAACTCATGTGACAGCAGATGATGATGAGGATGTGGAGAAAGAGGAACAATTCTCCATTGTTGGTAAGATTGCAAGCTGGTACAACTACTTTGGATATCAGTCTGGTGGTTCCTCAGAAAATTGGACATTGTACTACCTGAGGACCCAGCCATACATATATGCTCCAACATATAACAAGGGCACATGCTCCACTATGTTCATAGCAGCCTTATTTATAATAGCCAGAAGCTGAAAAGAACACAGATGTCCTTCAACAGAGGAATAGATACAGAAAATGTAGTACATTTACACAATGGAGTAGTACTTGTCGATGAAAAACAATGACTTCATGAAATTCGCAGGCAAATGGATGGATCTAGAAAGTATCATCCTGAGTGAGATAACTCAGTCACAAAAGCATACACTTGGTATGCACTCACTGATAAGTGGATATTAACTCAAAAGCTCGGAATACCTAAGATATAATTCACAGACCATATGAAGCTCAAGAAGAAAGAAGATCAAAATGTTGACACTTCAGTCCTTCTTAGAAGGGGAAACAAAATACTCACTGGAGGTAGAGGATGTGAGAGACTTGAGAGGAAGAGAGGAGGAAAAGGTGAAAAGGGCTGGCAGGATCAGGTATATGGGAGGAGACAGGGATTATATACAGATGGTCAGGAATTTGAAATGAGGTATGTAGCAATGGGGGTTGTAGCCACCAGCAAGTCCCAGATACCAGGAATGTAAGTGGCTCCCAGGACCCAACAGTTAGCTGAAATGCCCAACAAAGAGGTGGGAGAACCTGTAGAAATCATATCCAGAGGTTAGGCAAGGGTTTGGAGTATGGGACCACCCACTCATCTCCAAATTTTTAACCCACAACGGCTCTTGTCTAAAGGAAACATGGGGACAAAGTGTGGAGCAGAGACTGAAGGAAAGGCCATCCAGAGACTGTCCCACCTGTGGATCCAGCCCAAATACAGACGCCAAATCCAGACACTGCTGCAGATGCTAAGAACTGCTTGCTAACAAGGAGCCTGTTATAGCTGACTCCTAAGAGGCTTTGCCATAGCCTGACAAATACAGAAGCGGATGCTCACAGCCAACCATTAGACTGAGCACAGGGACCCCAATTAAGGAGTTAGAGAAAGGACTGAAGGAGCTGAAGAGGTTTGCAACCCTATAGGAAGAACAACAGTATCAACCAACCAGACCCCACCCCCGAGCTCCCAGGGATTAAACCACCAACCTATGAGTACACATGGCTCCAGCATGAATAGCATAGCATTGACTGGCATCAATAGAAGAGGCCTTTGGTCCTGTGAAGGCTCAATTCCCCAGTGTAGGAGAATGCCAGGGCAGTGAAATAGGAGTGGGTGGGTGGGAGGGGGAGCACCCTCAGAGAAGCTGGGGGAGGGGGATGGAATAGGGAGGTTCCAGAGGGCAACCAGGAAAGGGGATAAAAGTTGAAATGTAAATACATAAAATATCCAATAAAAATGCAAAAAAAGGACACTTGCACAAGAAGTATTTTAAATATCAAGTATAAATATTAATATGTGGTTCAAAAATATTCCTACCTAACCACAAAAAGCTCAAATACATGTACAGAAGCCTCTATACTGACATACATTATGTACTGACATAATAATAGTCTCTCCATTCCTGTAAGTCTAGTCAACAATAAATGCACATGAAAAAAGCACATGAAGGGATTGCATGCTGAGTACTATCCTCTTCCAGTATAAGTAGTTTTTCTTCTAACGATATAAAGGTGCTTTATATATACTTGATGAAAAACAAAAGGTTATAAGTACAATTCTAGATGTGGTTTGATAACTTTTAAGTAAGTATTGAATTTGCTACTATGACTCATTTGACTAAACTCAGACATACCAGACCCAGAAACACAATGTTCTTGCTCATGAGTGGTTTCTAGCTCCAAATCTTCATATGTGAGCAGACAACATGGCATGATGACTAAAACCAGAAGAGTATTAATGGGAGGAGGGGAATGAGAAGAAATAGCAGGATACAGGTGATGTGAAACAGGAAATGAGAAAATATTGAGGTGTTTCAACTAGGGAGGAGGGTCAGGAAGGCAATACAGCAGCCAAAAGATTGTTTGATAAAGCCTCAAAAATTGTATTATTTATATTTATCTAAAATTTTTTTAAAAACTCATATAAGTATATGTGTATACATCTCTCTATTAATCATCTATCATCTATTTAATTACCTACTTACCAACCTACCTATCAGGAAGTTATGCCACTTGGGTGACAACGATCCCCAAAAAACTATAGCCTAATGGAGATCAGGCATGAAAAATCACCCATTGAATAGTCTATCAAAGTAGTTAGAGTGATTCCTAAAACAATAGAGATTGTCTGTAGCCCTTGGTTACTTCTGGGAGTTGAGGGTAGATACCTATTGCTAAAGAAATGCTATACTTCAGACACACTTCTCATGGTTTGAACTGTATCTGATCTGAAAGCTTCCTTCCTGCAGTCTAACTTCCATAGTACCAGAAAATACTTTACAAGCTGCCAAGCAAGAGAAGCAATTAAACAAATGAACTACAACAGTTAAAACTATACCAAGAAATCTGTAAAAATGTTGTAATGGCACTCACATGTTGGTAACCAGCAGCTGTCTAACTCAACATAAAGCCCATTCAACAGTAAGAAAATCAAGCCCTGTCAAAGACCAGCTTTAACAACCAGGTAAACTGAGTGAGCCAGCAAAAATGGCTGGACCAAAAGCTGATGGTAATTAACATTCTTTTACTATTCTGCAACTAGAGCTGATTACTTCTGGCAATTGACTCCTGCTGATAGCAGCTGGGAGGAAATGTTACTACTTACATCCAGTTTCTATGACCTGTGACCAGAAACTCTGATGTCTTTTAACTCTTTAGGGACTGGCAAGACAGAAAAGAAAAAGAGAGAAAATCTCTCTCTCTCTCTCTCTCTCTCTCTCTCTCTCTCTCTCTCACACACACACACACACACACACACACACACACACACACACACACAAGCACATGCACTAGCAAGCAAATGATCACACACACTACATGAAGAAGAAAAGAGCTTCACTTCCCTTTTATTTTTGCTTTCAGCCTTTTATACCTTCCCAGACAAAAGTGTTCTATGTAAGAAATAATTTGCCTCACAGATAAAATGTTCCACAACCGGAAGTTACAACAGGAAAATTGATTACGTGGTTTTCTAAATATTTGTATTTTTCATAAGTTCACAGTAAGTGTTTAAAGTAACAGTTCATGTCATAGGTTGATAAGGTTTAAGGAGTTACAGCAGAATTGTTTACGTGTTTTTCCACTAAAAGGCATGTCTGACTAAACATCTATTATCTTTTTTTTTTAAGTTCCACAAGTTCATTATACATTTAAAGCAATAGTTTTTATGTCTTAAGTTAGCAAAGATTTTGTCAAGAGAAAAATCATCTGTCTTGTATCTTATTATTTTGAAGTCTTATATAGATTAACTAGTCAATCATTTATTTTCTGTCCTTGTACCTGTGATTGTCCATTACCAGTTTATGATCTTTAGTTATGGAAATTAATGACTTCATTCCTAACCTAGAAAGAATGTTTTCCTTGATCATAAATTTATTCTAAACCTACTTTCTTTTCCTAGTGCAATTAGTTCATGACACAGAACTCTATTTGTAGCTTTTTATTTTATAGGAAGCTTAAATTTACTTGAGTCAACTCAGGAGAACTATAAAATCATTATCAGGAATTTTTTTTAAAAATCATCAATTCATCTAAACAGCATTATTTCATGAAAGTACATGTTCATATTGATCTGCAGGAAATTTTCCCAATAGGGTGGGGAAAATCAGTCATAACTGATAAAGAGTCTTTCTTTTTCCAGTCACACTTTGTCAGAAAAATGCGGAACAGAACAATGACAATTATAAGAAGGTACATCAGCATCCAGAAGCAATCCTGGGATAAAGTTACTGGGGCCCGCCTTTCCAGGATTCACCTATTGCAGCCATGCAAATGGTAGGTTGACTCCAGGAAGCTTGCTTGCTTGCCACAGCTTTCCCTGCATGGCTTCTGTCAATGCCTGGTACTAGAAACATAGCTACTGAGGCAATGGACCTTTAAAAACAATCTACTCCTGCCACTAGAGTAGTTATCAGGTGTGGCTGATATGTCACATGTGCATCAGTAGGTGGCAGAGAAGAGAGAGGTTATGTCTATGCTCAGTGTTCTGGCTTGTGAACATGTGAATAATTAGTAGCTTAATGCCTCCTGGAAAGGGAAAGCCTGAGGTGACCACCAGTCCAGCATCAGGGGGCCCAGATAGGGAGCTAACCTGAGATGACCACCAGTCCAGATGCTTATGTACATGCTACAATGGCCTCCCAGGAAGGGATATGAGCCAGAGACAGACAACCCCTACATGGAGCCACATGGGTTTACCAGACAAGAGTGGCCCAAGCGAGGGACAAGCCCAAGATGATCATCAGTCCAGTGCCATGGGGCTTGGACAGGGAGCTAGCCTAAGACAAGTGCCAGTCTGGCATTGCACAGGCTGTGGGAGGCAGTCCACGCCCAAGAGGACAACCAGCCTCTTGGACATAATGGACAACTGGGGTATAGCATTTCTTAGAACACTCCTGAGACTATTTCAGACACTCAGAGACTATGAGTACACCATTAAGAGGAGGAAGTAAGTGGAGGAGAAATGGAAGAGAAAAAGAAACAGGTAAATATAGGCACAAAAAAAAGAGAAGCATAACTGGAGACTTGAGGGTAGTCAAGAACAGTCTAATTTGAGTAGCTGGGACCATGGTGGGGTCTTGGCTTATGCTGATACTGGATACCAGTCTGGGACCATGTCCCTGTAGCATCAGGAGTCTATTACCACCAAAGGCCAGGTGGATATCCCTGATCTGGACTTCAATCTGGGAACATTTTGATGTCTGAGAGCTGTGCAGAACTGGCCCCAACCCTTGCCTAGGCATTGGAGGAGAGCTGGCCCTGTGGTCCTGAGGGCAAGAGAGCTGTCTGCCCCTTACTTGATAAGATGCTTTGGAGAGTAGGCCCTGTATCTCTCCTGAGCAACACACTAGAGCTGACCTTAGGGACAGGGGCATGGGTGAGCTAATATGCATATGGAAGCATTGAGGTTCCAATATATCAATATACTGTACCAGATGTCAGAGGCCTCATACCAGACCAAATGGCAATAAACATTTGCAAGCAAAGAAATGTAGAGAAATTGATATGCTGAGGAACACAGTGTAATACACTGTAGCTTACACAAGATTTTTTTTTTCCTGTTGTAGAGGAGACTGCAGGAGTGCAGGGAAGGTATGAAGGAAGTGGGGGATGAGTGGGATTGGGGTACATGATGTGAAATTCAAAAAGAACTAATAAAAAGTTTTTGATTTTTTTAAAAAAGAACCTATGCCATCGGAAATTTACTAAACTTGCATAATAGTTAACTATTGCGAGAAATATTTAAAATGACGACATTCAATCTGGCTGCGGCCTTACCATCGCTGCTCAGCTCGGGCCATCTGCTCAGGCTGTAAGAGACACCAACCCTGCCACCCATGAGACGCCAGCGTGGGAGATGGCTCTGCCAATCTACCACGCTGTCTCCACAATGCTTGGCTGAGCCCAGTCCATCCCGCCATCCACATGGGCTCAATACAAAGGAGACTCTAATGCTTAGATTATCCAAAGGCTTTATACATTTGGTAATTCTCAATAACAAGATGCCCATACAATCAGAAGTGTAACCCAATACTCAACCTAGATATACCAACTACCTTTGACTGCTAGAGACACGTACATACCCACTTCCATGTTCCCCCTCTCTTGTCCCTCTCTCCTAGCTCCTCCTCTTCCTTCTCCTCTTCCTCTCTTTACTCCTCCTCTTCCTCTCCTTACTCCTCCCACCTTAGATCCTCCTACAGTTAACTGCATTCTAAATCTAATCCTTATAGTCATAGATAAGTATAACTACACTTCTTATCAAAGAAGCCTCTTTTATAGCAAAAGGAAACCATCACAGTAATCCACAAGTGGACAAAATGCATAGATCAACAGATCATGAGGAGCCTAGCTTCAGCAGACACGTCTACATCATAGCTCTTACATCAATTGCTCAAAGAGCATCTCAGAAAAGAGAGTGGAAAGATTCCAGGACCCATAAGACCTGGAAGTTAAACAGTGTGTCCTAGAAATGGCTGCATAATCAAGACTGGAGAACAATGGCAGTAACAATAGACATGCTCATGCGGAAGGTGGAAATTTTTGCAGGGTCCCACCCCTAGACAAAGAATTACAATTATTGACTGCTTGGAGAAGAGATGATCTCCCTTTATTAGCTGTCCAAAGAGAAATGATCATCCCTGAAACTATGTATAGACAAACAATAAAAGCAAACTCAGCAGGTTGTAATTATGTATTTGTGCATACATATATATACACATATGTATGTATGTAACAATAATAAAGGAAAAGGAGTATTAACTTGAGGGGGTATAGAAGGGCAGCTGGGAGAGGCTGGAGAGAGGAAAGCGGGCTGTGATATGTAGGACCGTGAAAGGCAGCCTGGTTTCTGGTCAAGCAAGGCTGGAAACAGAGACCCCAGGTGATCCTGAGGGACCCCAGGTGGGACAAGGTGATCCTAAGGGAAGGCACTCATTTTGCTAAGTCCCCAGAACAGACCATCCTCCCTGCATAAGGTATTTAACCTCAGTCCCTCCCTAAGAAAACTGAAGTACAGTTTATCATCCACTTTCTACCATGACAATAAACATCTTAAAACCATGGTCTGTTTCTCTTTCATCAGAATCTGCCTGGGAAGCAATAGAGAAGGTTTTCACCTACAGAGCCACCCTAATCTTCCACAAAAAAAGCCTCTCTGCATTCCCAGCCAAGGTGACCATCAACCCAAGCAAGCCAGCCGAGCTAGCTGTGACCAAGCCAAAGGAGACTCTCCTCCCCTCAGGACATAGTTTCTCTTCCTTTCTCCCCCTTCAGCCATGGGACAATCCAGCCCATGTGCCCCCACTTCATTGACTTTTCCAAGGCTCCGCCTAACGGTGCCTGGATGCCCAAGAGCCTGAGAACCAGATGAGCTAGTTCCAGCTATCCTGGGACTTCTGACTGCACTCCTGCAACCCCCAAGTGAGGTCCTGCTGCTTCACATAGCCCAGTGCCTGCCAAGCAGCAGCTCTAGCCCCATGGGGGGACAGACATGGGACCCACATACATCCCAACAGTGATGTAGTTCTATTTTAATTAAAAAATATTTTTAAGACATTCAGAAACATGATTATAATCCAGATGTTTTTAAGATAGTAATATCTAACAGAAGTTTTAAATAATAATTATATATGGAGATCAAGTATTTAAATGTGTTTAGTATGACCCAGAAGCCAATTTGTTTTATTAAATTGAATTTGAATAGTTACAGGAGACTAATGTCCACTCCACCAAATGACACCATCTCAGACTGTTAAAACCTTATATCAAGAAAAGTAACTAAGATTTCAGATATCATTTAGAGGTTCTATGTAAAGTAGTAACATTGACTTAGTTTACATATGATGTTAATCACTGATTTTAATTCAATTAATTTGTATTTTTCACTTACTCTTCTTTAGTCTGCATGGCTGCCTTGCGCTCTTTTAGGCGACCTTTAATATCTTCAAATTTACGAGCCAGTTTTGCAATTTGTACAATGTTCAAACTGGCCGATTTACCATCTGATTGAAGATCTCTTTCTAAATTACTTTGGTCTCTGCTTATCTAAAGTAACAAAATTGACCAGTTACTAAAGACTCATTTTGATCTCATATTTTAAAAGCATTTCATTATTTCCTTTATCAAATCTGAATGACTTTATCAAATAAAAATAATTCTGAACAATCCCTGAAGCTTCCCAAAGCAGAAGTGAAAGTCCTTGAAGATAAAGACCAGTTATTCTCAGTCTAGTTTTTAAAGTATTTGAAAATTCAAAATGCAAATGATATCATTAAAGAACAGAATAAATATTGAAAAAGTCAATACAATTTCATATCTGCTTATATTATGGATAATTTTTAAATATAGGAGAAATTTCAAGTTGATAAATTCCCACCATTTTATGTAAATTAGAAAAAGAAAGTGAGTGAAATTTACATTATTCTTTAGGAGACAAAAATGATCCAATATATTTATTCTCTACTGGATTCATACAGAAAACTCATTTGCAAATTACTGATAAACATTTTGCTACAAACTAATTATTTTTCAACATAAATCAAAATATTACTTTATAATCAATGATTATTGAAACATTTGATTTATACATACTTCAAACTGATTTTCAAATGGGTCAATACTTACTAATATAATTAACAGTTAAGAAGTTATATTTTACCTCCTCCATTTGGTTGACTTGTTGCTGAAACCACTTCATGAAAACAAAATAAGGAGAAAGTTAATACACATTTGTCTGAAACCCTGTATCTGTAAAGCACTATTCCTGACTCTCATGCATCACATAGAGCTCAGAAGAGGGTAGTGTAACATACAACTGCAAGATAAACTTAAAAATATCTAGCAGCAACCAGGAAATGCTGCAATTTCAAAACCTAAATCATCTTTGCTTAATATGCATTCTTCTCTTTATCTTTAGTTACTTTAAGCTGAAATGAATTGAAACACATACCTTGTAAAGAGATTCCAACACCTGAAAAAAAAAATTTTAGATAGTATATTTAAAGATGAATATCATGCAACATTTACAATTTTCAATAATAAATTTGCTAAAATTACTCTGATTTATATTGCTAAAACAAATACAAATCTGTATTTCCAAATATATAATAACTTTGTGATTATGGTATTTAGTCCACTTTGAATATGCAACTACATCTGGAATTTAAAAAATAGCTTTTCACTCCATAGGACTATATTTGGAAACTCTTAAATTATTCACATCTAATATATTGTTCATAAAAGTTAATTAAAAGTTTCCAGAAGAGAGCCATGTCTGTGTCATATGTTCTATAAGAGGTGATTAACTGATTGAAACACAAATAATAGTGGAGATGTGCAGTTTCAGAGGAAAATCACCTTGGGCTACCTCAGCCTCCAAATAGCCATTTATTGTTGACCTCTGTGTGAGGTAATTCTTGTGATTATTAGATCAATCAGTTTCCAATGCACAGACAAGATCCATAAATTCTATCCACTGAAAGGCTAAGAATATATCAGTTAGCATCTGAGGGCTACAGCAGAGATTTCCCCACTGTGCCATAATCTGCCTACCTGATATTCCCAGAAGAGTATTTGAACAATGCTTGATTTATAACTTTCTTTGTTCTGTTAGTATAAAAGGTTCATGATTTATTCCAAGACAGTTTATTTTGTGAGGTCACTGTAAATATTGTTTTTCTGTTTTTTTTCTATGCATTTTTTGTCATTTGTATACAAGAAGGCTACTGATTTTTGTGTCTAAATTTTGTTTCCATTTATTTTACTTAATATATTTATGAGTAGAGGTTTTTAATGGAATGTATGGGCTTTTTATATATAGAATTGTATCATATGCAAATAAGGATCTTTTGACTTCAGTCTTCCCTGAGCTACTGAATCAGATATTAGTAGGGCCAACAATAAGCTGGTGACTCTAAGTGAATACTTTTTATGCTGAAGTCTGAGTTGAGCGAATTGTGCTTAATGGAGTTGGAGCTTAAAGCAACTATATGAAAAGCTTCCCGAAGAGAGGATTGCATGTTTATTCTAACTACTATTACACTGTGTGACATAACATCATGAAGAAGGCAACTTATCAAAAAAAGGGTTAGAGTCCATGATGATGGTACATTGTGTCAGGAAGTTCTAGGGCTCACATTTTGATCTGAAAGCAACAAGAAAAGAAAACACACTAGGAATGGCTTAATTTTTTCAAGTTCCAAAGCTACTCCTATTACATACTTTCTCCAAAAGGGCCATACCTCCCAGACAGTTCCACTAACTGGGGACCAAATTTTTAAACATAGCCTTTATGGAGGCCACTTTCATTCAAATGACCACATTCTACTCCATGCACCCCCCCAAATATGTGTCCATACCATAATGCAATATTCATTTAGTAAAACTTCAAATTTTCTAAAATTTTTCAGTCTCAACACTGTTTAAAGTCTACTATTCAGAAACTTTTGTGAGACTCAGGTCAGTCACTTAACTGTAAAATCAAAATACAAATTTCATACTTTCAACATACAATGGAACAAAATATACATTACCATTCCAAAAGGAAAGAATCCAGGCTCAGTGTGGAAACACTTGACCAAAGCAAGACAGAAACATAGCTGGGCAAAGTCCAAATCCTGTAGCTAAGCTGTGTCTGAGGTCAGAGGGCTTAGCTGGCTCCAGAATTACAGCTCTGCTTCCTGCAAGATATATGTCTCTCTCTTGTGATGTTCCAATCCCCACTATAGCCCTCCTTGGCAGATAGCCTAGGGTTCTGACACCTCTAACATCTTGGGGTCTCCAACACAATCCAGGCTTCACTTTCATTCACACAGTAGACTCTTGGAGCCTCTTGCCCTTTCAGGGCCTTTATACAAGGACTGCCCTGCCATACCATACAGCCTTCAGCTTCAGCAGCCTTTTTTAACCATGAAATAAGATTCTACACAACTTTCCTCATGCATTCTCCATGGCTCTAAAGCCAGAACAACAGTGGGTGATGCTGTCAAGTTCAGCTGCTTACTTGGGAACAGAGTCTGGCCCCTTGAATCATGTTTACAGTAGCTTTTGTCTGCTGTTTTAGGAGCAGAAAATGTCTTAATATTTTTTCTTTCACTGGAGAAAAAAAGTTTAGCTGAGTTGGATCTTGCCCTGAAAACACCTCAGGCCTCTCTTCAATCTCCTTATCTCATTCAGTAGAGACCTTGGCTGCAAATTTTTTCTGGTGCACTTTTTTTTCTCTTAAAACTTTACATTTTGTATTGTTTTCTGCCCTATTTGCTCTTTTTCCTTGTAGATCTGCATAAAATTTCAACAATTATCTTTGAATTTGATTATGTATTTTCCTCATATTTATATGCATTTCAAGATATGGTTTATGAAAGTTTTAGGGCATAAAATAAAAGAATTAATAGCATTAAAAAGAAAATAGACACCTATAGAATGAACATAGTGTAACTTTAGCTTTAGAATTATCATCTAACTAGAACGACAAAGGATTTTCAATTTCAGGGTGTTAGATCTGTGAGGGTGGAGCAAAGGCATAGCAGGAAGAAAGCTGGGAGCCTACATCTTGATCCAAAAGCAGGAAGCAGAGAAAGAACATTGGTAATTGTAGAATCCTTTTGAAGCTACAAACTTCAAAAGTACTGTGACATACTTTCTCCAATAAAGGCACACATCCTAATCTTTCCCAAATAGTTGCACTAATTGGGAACCAAATATGGGCTATAGGAGTAATTTTCATTCAAAGCACCACATATTTAAAGTTGAAGTATCAAAAATGACTTTCTGAACTACTAAAACTATTAAAATGATACAATATATTTTAGATATATTTTAAGCTATTTGTGTTAGTTCTTCTCATGTTTTTATGTCGTAGTTACCTATCTTTCATTTATTGATACAGATTCATAATAATCATGATAGTCTCCTATCATCTCTACATGATCCAAATGTTTTACTTATATGATTTTTTTCTTGCCTTTTTCTCTTTGTGGACTATTAATAGTAGACTAAGTCTTTAATAGCTGAGTTAATTAGACTTTCCTATTGTGGCTTGTATTTCCTTCACATTATGAATTCTATTTTGATGACCAGGGGGTTACCAACTGGCTAAATTGGCTTACTAGCAAGCTCCATGGATCCATCCATCTATCTCCATCTCCATCTCCATCATCTCCATCTCCATCTCCATCTCCATCTCCATCCCTCATCCCAGTGTAATGGTTGTAGATGTGCAACCAGATTTTATATAGATGTTGGGGATCTACCTCAGATCCTCATGTTTATGTAACACAGGAAGTTCACCAATGAAGCCCTCTCTTCACTCCTGTGTTCTCTGCTTGTTCTACAGGTCTATAGTTACGTCTTCATATGGTAAAACATTGTTTGGATTACTAAAAATTTTGAGAAAAGTTTTGAAATATTTTTCTTCAATAAGAAATTAAAATAAAATAAGGTTAAAAGTATTTAAAGGGTAAATATTTAATTGGAAAATAAAAAAAAATAGAAAAACATTTGTATCAGACAGAGTAACATGCAAAGCAGAAGCACAAAATAGAAGGATTAGCAATCTAGACAAAGCAGTCATAAGGAATTATGAAACAGATGACCAGAGAAGGGAAGGGGAAAGGGAAGAAAGGCAAAGACAAACTGAAGTTGAATTTTCTGGTTTTTTTTAAAAATTCAGCTGTGCTATGTGGTGTTTTTCTGGAAGCTGTCTTGTGGGAGAGTATGTGATGTTTTGCTGAAAACAGACACTTGAGAGGGCATGTGACATTTAGAAAGAATATATTGAAAACCCCACAGTGGGAGGATTCTCTTACATTGCTACCCCAATCAGTGCTTTGCTGGTCTTCACTGGTGTTCACTGGTTTCACTGGTCTTTCTTGGTCTTGACTTTATAGAGAGAAAAACACCAAAGAACTTCTCCTGTTATTCTGACTGATTCTGGCAACTTTTGTGGAGCCTTGCTATTTCTGCTGGATTGTGCTGTTGCTACTGATTCCTATTTGGTGTTTTCTATTAGACTAGATTGCTGGTATCTTGAAAAAGAAGAGTGTAATTGCCCCAGATACTACTTCTAAACAGGTCCACAACTCCTTTCCTTAATAACCTTTTTCCCCTACCTTTGTTCGGTGGGCTAGAAGGGAGGGTGAAATGTTTAAGAACCCTAAATAAAGTAGGTTTTAAAAATCTAAGCCAACAAAAAATAATGCCAGTTAAACATTACAAAAATAAGTTGGACATATGTATATATTACAGAATATAAAGTACATGATATTATGCCTTATTAACTATATAGTGTATATACAACAGACACTAAATGTTGACACTCATATATAAAGATCAGTATATTATTCATGTTACACAACAAAATATTATACAATAAGCAGATTTAACTGTTCCAAAATGTTTCATAAATAAAATGATCATGGTATGTTTAAAAATTTAAAGTATATTTGGAAATGAGCAAAATGTGATTTCATTTAGAATTTTGAAAAGTTTCATTTTTATTTTCTGTGGTTTTTGCATATGAGCATTTGTGCGTGTATATTACATATGTCCCTGCAGAGTCCAGAAGAGAGTGTTGGAGCTCCTGGAACTAGACTTAAACATAAGTGTGAGTGACCATGTAGTACTGGGAACCAAATCTGAGTCTTCTACAAAAGCAACAAATACTCTTAACCACCATGTGTGTCTTTCTTGCCACACATTATTTCACTTTTGAAAAAAAAATATATATGAAATAACATATTGGAAAAAATAATAATATGAAAAAAAAAGAAGTCAGCCATAACTGTGCTAATAGTATTTTTTTCATAGTAGGAATTAGTACTATGGTGACATTTTTAAAAAAAACTATTTTTGTTTTTAAATTAACATTAATTATAATATGATTTTGATAATACAGGCTTATTTTTAAAATGAAAATAAAACATAGAGATCATATTTGAAAGTACTGTATTGATACTGTTTTCAAAGAAAAATCCACAGTCTACATTGAAAATTAGGAAATTAAAAAAAAGATTTTCTAATGACTTTTGTAATTACCCAAGGATTGGTTCTAGGCTAATATTGCTTACTGGATATCACTTCACAGTTCTTACAATCAATGCAAGCTCTCATAGTTGGCACCAGACACAACTTGAAATACATACGCTACGTTCTTCCTTAACTGCTTCCTCCAGCTGAGCTGCAAATTGTGAACAGGACAACAGGAATGAATTCACATCATCACCAACCTTCCAGAAAGAACCATAAAACAGAGTTACTTTTAATTTTAGAGTCCACTTGTATATCCACTTATTTCTTAATCTATTTAACTGTATTTGGAAAATATTTTGGTTTTGTGTAATTTCTGCTGCTTCAAACTTGAGTGGCAAGAAAACATGTTTCAAATGTTATCCCAGCAAACCCTCCTAGAAATGAAATGTGGAAGGAATTATATCCTGAGAGTGAGGACACAGCATGTTTTCCTCTTCTCATCTATACAACTGGAGAGACTCTAGCAACCCAACCTTACACTCCTGCTTTTATGATGGTCTAAAGAAAAGAACTACTGTGTTATAGTATGTAGAATTGCACATGTTAAAAAGGTAATGTATGACTATGGATGAAGCTCAGTGATAGAGCAGTTGTCCAGAAAACCAAAGGACATAGGGTCCAGCCCCAGCATCACAAAAATAAAAAAGAATGTGAACTACGACTTTTGACTGTAAATGTAATTTCAGTGTTACCTACTAGTAACCAATCATCTATAGAGTGCAATGCTTAAATATCTTCTGGCAGATATTTCTATATCAGAAAACCAACCCATGTTAAATCAGTCATACACACTTATTTCCACTTAAGATTCTCATAGAAGAAGGTGTTCACTGAAGAATAACCATTAATATATTCACAGGAACAAAACTGATGAGACATACAGATTATTCCAGCACATGGAAGACTGAAGCAGATTTCAAGTTTCAGGCCATATTGAACTCAAGGGAACTTAGTGATGCCTTGTCTCAAAAAATGTAAGGTTCATTTGTGTATGTGTGTATATGTGTGCCTGTGTGCATGCATGTCATATGATTAATGAGGAGATCCAAGAACAGAAATTGGTTCTTCCTGTGAGTTACAAGGACTTCACCCAGGTCATCAGGCTTGGTAGCAAGCAACTTTACCCATTGACACTGAACATCTTGCCTGCCCTCAAAAATTTAAAGAAGTGGTAGAGTGAAGCTGGGCGGTGGTGGCCCACGCCTTTAATCCCAGCACTTGGGAGGCAGAGGCAGGCAGATTTCTGAGTTCGAGGCTAGCCTGGTCTACAGAGTGAGTTCCAGGACAGCCAGGGCTACACAGAGAAACCCTGTCTCGAAACACCAAACAAACAAACAACAACAACATCAAAAAAGAAGTGGTAGAGTGCTTTTCAACCATACTTTAGGCCATGACATCAACCCTTAGTATCAAAACAAACAAACAAACAAACAAACA